AGATGGGTTCTCCAAGGATTCTTTAGTAAAGGCAACGGTTCTATTCAAAACCATTTCATGCTTAAATGGTTCTTTGCATGGTCAAATGGTCCTTCAGACTGATCGAAAATGTGTTGTATATGGTTCTATATATTACGAGCTTAATATCGTAACAATAGTAGAACACTTCTTGGTGCTACATTGAACTGTTTTCAAAAAAGGTTCTATAAAGAACCACATACATCACATTCTCCATCAATCTGAAGAACCATTTCACTATGCCAACCATCATGCATGACATGGTTCTATATGGAACTCATGGTTGTAAACAGAACCACTGCCTATACTAGAGAACTTTTAATTCAGAGGACTCAAAGTGTTACTATCTTCTTGACAAACCTGTTTGTTCCATTTTTTATGTCATGTTGTTCGCGTTGAGTGGTTGACCCTTTTCATTGGGTTTAAAATTAAGCAACTGCCAGACTGGAGCACTGGGCAATTTTCCTTCTGAATGAGTTCCACCATTTTCTTCTGCAATTATGGTCACAAAAGATGGGTTCATAACAAGGTCATGGTGCCCATTTAAAAAGATATTTTAACAATCTACTGAACAGAAAATGCAAAAGTAACAAGAAAGCCCTAAACCGAAAGTAAAATCTCATATCTTACCATTTAAAATAATATTTTGGATTCATTGTCACTGGATATCATGGCAGTGGAAGATTGTAGGGAGGTAGGGGTGATCAGATCTCTATAATCGCACACTCCTACAAACTACATCAAAAAACGTTTATTTCAAAACAGTGAGGAAAATCCTGTTTTATGTAATATACGTTCTTTAACATGTGTTTTTGAACCTTTCACACTGTTCCAAGTCTGCGGGCATTTTCACACTTGGATCTTTTTAGCGTCTGAAGTGGACTCAGACTGCTGAGTAGGGGTGCGGAAAAAAATCGATTCTTAGATGCATCGCGATGCGGACGTACACGATTCTGAGTCGATTTATTCAACGTCAAAAACCGATTTTCTAAATATTTAATTTATAACGTAATGTTGACGGAACACAAAGGGCGGAACTTGGAAGTGGGTAAGTGCAGCGCCTGGACAGTCTGTGGCGGCACATAACAAAAACACTACTGGATGAGTGAGAAATCCGACCGACTCCCTCTGCATTAAAGCCAGGTTAGGTCAGGAGTCACAACATAAATGATAAGAAGAGACATTTTAACCTTTCAACAAAAATCAAACCACCTTGGGAGCCACAACATTTAATGTCCAGTATGTCTCAGTATGTGTTAATGTCCTAGTATAGGCTAAACAATATAAACGAAAACCCGGACTTACTCTGCTCTGCTTTAAGCTTTAGCTATAGCTGCTTTTCTTCCATCTCCGCCAGAAAACTTTTGCTCAAAAGTTGAATAGTTTCTTGTAAAATGTCTCTCAGCTTTCGGCTGTTTTATGAGGCTGAAGTCGCTTCTCATTAGCCAGCTTCTTGCTGAACTTTCCCGTTCCACCTTAAATTCTGACTGAGGCGCCAAAGGTAAATGCGGTACCATTTAAGGTGGAACGGGGAAAATTAGAAAGAGAAGCGACTTCATCTTCGCAACTTTGTGTTTGACAGTCTCTCGTTGCAGATTTAACGTATGAGGAACCCAGCTACGTTGCTTATAAATGCGAATAAGTCCGTTCATCTCCAAATGTGCGTCTGTCTTTCTCTTTTCCTTTTTCATTCGCGAAACCTCGTTGCTAGGTGACCTGCAGTCTGCACGCCAATTCTCAGTCGTTGCGAAACAGGGCTTCCGGGCTATGTTGCACACGCCCCGTCTCAAAGATATTTTACTGACGCAGCGACCCTCCCCCCGTCTCTACCACGAGACCAAAACCGAAGTTATAAAATTGCTAAAGAAAACAGGCAGGACGGCTATAATGTGCTGCGTGGTCATCCATCACCACTGGATCTTATTTCACCGTAACAGCGCATTTTATCGCAGATGAGTGGCAGCAGTGTCTCCAAACAAGAGCAGTGAATGAGAGCCTTCTAGTTGACTTGCCACATCACTTCCATTTGTTTTATTAATAAAAGATATTGGATATAAATGCATTATGGATCATTACAAACACTTTGCTTTAAAAGTACCAAGTCCTCAGACAGTAAGAAAATAGAAATCATGTATAGAACAAAAAGATGCATCGAGATGCATCGATAATCGTTTTATAATCGCATTGCAGCCCTCTGAATCAGAATCGAATCGAACAGTGAGGTGCCTAGAGATTCCCACCCCTACTGCAGAGTCATGATTTCTTTTGCATATGTGAACAGGTCAAACGAACTCAGACCCCTCTAAATGGCCCCAGTCTACTTTTGCTTTGTAGTGAAGACCTCAAGGCTTGTCCTACACAGCCACAGTCTTCGGCACTTCAGCAGGTAAAAACAGACCACCACTCAGGATAAAGTCTGTCTGTGCACCGTGAGTGGTGTGAAAGGGGTCTGAGTTCTACTGGAGTTGTGGTCTGAACAAGAAATGGTCTGAGATCTCAAAGGACCAGAAAGAAAACTAAGTCCTCTTCATAGTTCACTTACATTGTGAACACAAACAGAGAGGTCATTTGCAGTTGGTTCCCTTTCAGGTTCAATTTAACAGAACTCAGTTCGGTTCTTTTAAAAAGAACTGTATATGAAAACACCCTTTAAACTTATCCTGTCCCAGCTGGTTTGGAATGTGTTGCGATTTCAGAATATGTATGCGTAACGTAGAAGTGGTAAAACATTAAATATATTGTCTTTGTAAAGCTTGCGTTTAAACACAGGTCAAAAGTTGACCACAAATCACTGCTTTCTGTTTTTATTTGCATTTCATATACTGTCCCGACTTTTTAGGAATGTGGTTTGGTTTGTAATGTGTCTGTGGCTCTTTTCCACCACACTGAACTGAAGCTGTAATGATGTTTGCAGCCTGATTGCAGGATCTGATTTTAGTGGAATCTGATTGGTTGCAGGCACCACCAATTGGTGACAAATGACGGACCAAATTACTCCCTTGTAGTTCCATGATTAGTTAGTAGAAAGAAATAAGCTGATTGCGTTTGGAACACCTCCTCTCTTCCTTTAAAATGGCAGCCTGATTGAAACCCACACACAGAGGCCTCAGACTGTTGTTCTCTATTTGAAAGTTACTGAATGTCAAAGGAACAGTGATATAACTGTGAAATACACAGCACAGCCATAATGGCAGTGTGATTCAGAGTTGAGGGTGTGTTTTTTTAACAGCTCTAAACAGAGCTGGCAGGCCGAGAGAGAGGCTGTGACCCGTGGAAGAGCGCAGGAAGAGAGGAGAGGAGAGGAGAGGGGGAAGACAAAAGCTGAGGAAGAAAGAGGAGGGGAGAGACACACAAAGGGCTGTGGTTGGGGTCAGCACTGTGTTTAACTCAATCAAGCAAAAACAGATCCACTCTGGCACAGGTTAATAGAGGGACAGAGTGAGAGAGAGAGAGAGAGAGAGAGGAGAGAGAGAGAGAAGAGAAAAACATTAGAGAAGCAAGAGAGAGAAAGACAAGGACAGAGAGAGAGACATGAGTGAGCGAGAGAGAGAAAGAGAGACATAAGGAGAGATGAGAGACATAGGGAGAGATATAAGGAGAGAGGTACAGAGAAATAAAGAGACAGAGAGAGAGACTTACAGGGAGACAGAGACACAGGGAGAGAGAGGGCGAGAGATGGAGACAGAGAGAGAAGAGAGAGAAACATATAGGGTAGAGAGAGACACAATGAGAGAAGGAGAGAGCAAGAAACTAGTGAGAGAGAAAAAAAAAGAGAGAGAGAAAAGGGAGAAAGCAAGATGGACAGAGTGGAGTAAAGAGAGAAAGAAAGAAGCATGCGCAACAGAGAGACTGACAGAGAGGGAGAGAGAGATATGAGGCGAGAGAGACATTGGGGGATAGAAAGACATGGGGAAGTAGAGACAGAGGGAGCAAAAGAGAGTGAAATAGAGGTAGTGAAAGAGAGAAGAGAGACAGAGAGAGAGAGAAACAGAGAAATGCAGGGGAGACAGAGAGAGACATAGGGAGAGAGGGAAAAGAGGGAGAAAGCAAGAGGGACAGAGTGGGACAAAGAGAGAAAGAAAGAGCAATGGTAACAGAGAGACAGACAGAGAGAGAGGGAGAGAGAGAGGGAGTGAGACAGAGAGAGAAAGAGAGAGAGAGAGGGAGAAAGAGAGAAAGACATAGAGAGGGAGTAAGAAACACACAGAGAGAGAGAAAGTGAACCAAATTACAAAACAGCTCAAACTGATTGAGAAACCGAGTCAAACTCACAGAGTAAAATGCAGTGTTATTTGGCCCTAAAACGTCAGTACAGTGTAGCAGATTACCTGAGCACACTGACTGACCCTAAACTGAGGTCCACCTTGACGAAGTACAGACTCAGTCAGCACCGTCTGGCCATAGAGACGGGCAGACACAGGAAATCTTGGCTACCAAAAGAGGAAAGACTGTGCCAGCAGTGCCAGCAGAATAGGCCTGAGACAGAGCTGCACTTTCTGACTGAATGTACCAAATTCACTCAGATTAGAACAGAATTCTTCAGTAAAATCACCAAAACATGTCCTGTATTTGAAAATCATCCCCCCACAGAGAAGCTGCCATACGTTCTAGGAGAATATAAAGAGTTCTGCACACTGGCAGCACAGTACATTCACACCTGCCACACTCTGAGGGACAGTGAGTGACCACACCATGTCAGAGATACACACCTATAAACACGTACATTCTGCTTATTATTATTATTATTATTATTATTGTCATTATTATTATTATTATTATTATTATAACACCTGTTATATCTGTTATTGCTTTATATCTGTTATTGCTTTTTGTATATGTTGTACTTTGTTCTTAATCTCCCAACAAAAGCTTTGGCAATACAAGTGTTAATATTTGTCATGCCAATAAAGCAACATTGAATTGAATTGAATTGAGAGAGAGAGGGAGAGAGAGAGACAGAAAGAGAGACAGTCTTACTGTACCTGAGCGCTGAGATGATTCTCTCCACTGCCTCCTGAACTATGCTGCGTGGCTGTAGGTCACTCAGGTCCACGGCAGTCGTCAGCAGCTGTTCAATTCGCTCCAGCGGCTGACCGTCCAGCGCCATGGTGATGGCCAGCTGCCGCACTTTCACCCGCTCTGACCTGGAGAGGTCATACACTCTACTGTACCCCTGCAGACGCTTCTAAAGACAGAGGAGGACAGGATAAAAGAGTGAGAGAGAAATGAGCTACATATAGGCTTCACACACTCAGCAGACAGCTGAATGTCAAACAAAGTCATCTCCTTCACTCCTCCGCATGCTAATACACACTGAGAGCTGGTGGGCAGGTGACTCAGCACAATCACTAGCCTGAAGATGCTTTAAAAAGATTCATGTCGCCAACAATAAATTTAAATGTAAATGTAAAACGAAACAGGATGTGATGTGCGATTATGTTGTTAGATATTGCAATGACGAAAGGAGAAACTATAAATTCTGATAATATTTACAGTTTCAGTGTGTCTGTGACTGAACATGCAGTAAATACAGAGCATTTATATTCATAATCTGATGTGTAAATGACCTTAAATAGTAAACTACATTGCAGAATGGATAAGAATTTTATTCGATTAAAGGGCCCATATCCTATATTTGTCTTGTTTTTATTTTTTTTCCCCAGAAGGCTACTTGTCACACCTTTACATTGTACAAGTTTATGCACCAGGGCAGATGTGTACACCATAAGTCATTTTTACATGAACATTTTCCACCCTCCCTCAATGAAACAGGCTGTTTTTCTTACAGTACTTTTAAGAGAGATATATGTAAATGATCTCTGCTCTGACTGGCAGCCCTGTATTGATCCTGGTTCAAAAAGCATTCTGTGCTGAAACACCCCTTGTACCTTGCACATAAGTGGGCGGGGCTAAACTTATATATGCTGAATAAGCACATATATGTAAATATGTTTGTTTTTGCGACAACACAAAAACAACAAATTAAAAATGAGCTGCAGCTTAATTTACAGCTTATGGACTGGGTTTTGGAATTGTTGAAATATTTATGTCATGTCAAAAAGCTAATTAAAAACAAAAGAAGGAAAATTCAGTTTTCCATGATATGAGCCCTTTAAAGTCATTAATTTCTCTACTGTAGCCTTAACTACAACACATTTCATCAGTAAAAGCATGAGGCAATATGTCCCACGATCCACTGGCCAAAATTACAGACCTTGCTTTGCTATTATTTTACTGCTTGTCTGTTGTAATTTACAGCAGTTCGTTCTGCAAAAATAATACGAGGGTATGTCGAGTCATTAAACTAGGCAGATTATGCGGATTGTACAGCGCTTACGTGCTGTTAGAAGAAGCAGAAAATCACGCTCTGATATTAAATTCCCTAATTTGGTGTGGACCCTAACAAGAACCAGCAGAGAACTGAACCAGGATTCGTTTGGAATTGAACTTAGACCCGCTGTTTTTGTTTGGTGTGCACCCAAGTATGGGTGGAGTGCTTAGACCCGCCAAACGGAGCAAACTAATAAAAAAAAGTTATAAGCTCGCACCAAAAAATGAAGGTGAAAGCCCCCTTAGTCTGACAGGCCAGGCCTGATATCATAATGAGAATTCATGTCTGGGGCAACTTGTTAATCTTTTGGTGCTAGACTATGGTGAAACCCACCACAAACAATTGTACACCCAGGTTGAAAACAGACCACAAATTCCTTTAGTCTGTGTTCTTTTAATATCCATGTGATAAGGCAAGCAAAACAAGCTACCTAGCAACTTGTAGCAAAACTGACCTTCCTTGCAAGAGGTGATCTTCATTTTTATCAAATGTCATGTCTTCTCTAGACACACGACACACATCTACATGCTTAATTGAAGTTTTTTGGGGGGACTTTTCAGCTATGATACATTACATCCACAGGCTAAGGACAGGCTTGTTGTCCATCAGATAATGTTGACGAGCGAGCCATCGCTTCCTACTTTAAGCTCCACCTCAACACTGCAGCTGGTTTAGAAATTTGCCCACTCATATTTAGCCCAAACTTTCTTATGGCTGTCTCCAGATGTTCTCGTTACAAGAGCTGGCTCCCTGAGTCTACCTCTACTTATGCTGCCACAATCATTCAAAGTTCCAAATCAGCAACAAGCATTTTATTATTTTTTGATGCAATGAAACAACGGAAGTAATATCAGCTTTATGTAGCATATCACAATTCAGCAGAATGACTATGAGCATCATAAAAATGACAGAGAATTATATAAAGCATTTTTAAGGCAGAGGTGGGGAATTGAGGGATGGCATCCAGCACAGCTTGTTGATTTGCTGGTCAGATGGGTGTGTTTATGTTTTGTAATTAAGTTTTTAGTTGAGTTTTTTACAATAAAAAAAAAAAAATCCCCATCAAAATCTTTTCATAATCATAGTTATTCACTTTCTTGACTAACTGTTGCAGCCCTACAATAAACGAACACAAATAGCCACTAATTAGGAACATTCAAAAGTCACCAAGCTGTTAGCTTCTTTTCATTGTCTATGGCCTTGACCTACAATTACTGTCAATTCAGACATTTCAATTCAGCTCTTTTTATTTATTTTAATTGTTTAGTCAGTCCCTCCAGCCTCTTCTTTTATGGTGCGTTTATTATTGTAGTTTGGTTCCCTTAGTCCAGAAAAAAAGCAGAAAATAATATATTGTTGCAATTTAGTTCTGGTTGGCTTAGCATTCACAGTGGCATATTTAACCTTGAACCAAAAGATGTAAACAAAAGTAACACTAGTAAAAGATCACAAATGATTGGGCAGATTTTATAACGTACAATAACAGATAATATCCATCGAACCTTCTGAATCATGCTGTTCTCTGTTCTATCTGGGCTTTTTGGTTTTATGAATGTGTTGTTTTATCTGTCTTATGATATTAGAGCAATAAGCAACAAGACTCCCAGTGTTACTGTGATTTTGCGCAAAGCACAGCAGGGTGAAATCCTTGTTACAGCCTCGAGTGGCTTACTGCTTTTATAAAATGCAGAAACCTTGGCGCTTTAATACATAATGCAATTACAAGTCTGAAGTCAAATTTTTATCAAGTATTTTATAATGACTTGAGCCTCATTTTAAAACCAAATTCATTCTATAATAATCAATTCAGGACTTATGAAGAGATGATCAAACGTGCGCTTGCCAAATCAGCATCAGAAACTCGTGTTTTCCATGTACCAATGAAGTTCTACAAAAAGGAAACGACGGTTGATTCTGTATATGGTCAGTTTATATATCTTTGGTCTGTATTGCACTCATACTTCAAGGAAACTATGCCAGAGTTTGTTCTGAATCGAACCGAGACCGACCTGCAAAGGGGGTCTCAGTCTGCTTATCCGGTGCGCACCAGACTTCGGATGGCAGCGTTCACACTTGCTCTAACAAATTGCAGAGCAATCGAACTAGGGTTCGTTTTGATTGTATCAAACCTGCAAAGTCTGGATGCATCCTTAATGTTGAGTGTGTACATTTTATCATACCAATTTTGAATAAATAAATAAATAAATAAAGAGCTACATTGAAATATTAATCCTATGAAAAGGTGAGAAAAAGTTCGGACTCTCTCTCTTTCTCACAAACACAAACACACCTTCCTCAGGTAACAGGCAGGTGTGAGTGTGTTGCGAGGCTGCTGGAGTGACACTTTGAGGGCGCCACGGTAATAAAATGCAGCAGTTCTGCCCTAGAAGCCAACGAGAGCCAGAGAATTTCAACAAAAGTTAGGCCTGGGTGTGTACGCTTAAGCCTCAGTCCACCTGCTCCTCTACCCCAACAGTCCTAACTGCAGCTCCACACCTGCCTATCAATCCCTCCCATACTCGCTGAGGACAGACAGAGACCCAGGAAAAGGAGAGAGAGCAGGAGAGATTTTGCTGCTGGTTGAACATTCACTGTGTGTGAGGAAGACAGAGCCTTCCTGGCGTCTCATGAATGTTCATGACATCTTGTCATTTTGTGTTTCTGAGTGAGAGAGCTTTTACACTGAGAATGACTTGTCTAGTGTGAGGAACATGCATTTTGAGTGAGAACGTGTGAATATGAGTTTGACCGGGGGTTTGTGTGCATGTTAGACATCTACATGGACATGATATGGAAGTTTGAACTCGACCCAGCACGACTGCTACTGATAAATTTAAAGCAAGCGTTACCTGAATCCCCTCGCCTGCACTACAGAGAGAGATTAGTGATTAGTGTGTTTGTGAAAACACAGCTTTACAGAGCTTTGTTTTGTTACTAAGTGCTTCAGTTGATCAATAGAAAACGTTACACTGAGCAATACAGTGACCGTATTGAACATCAGTAAATACCCTTCTCTGATCAACTGTTATGCTGTGTTTACATGTTGGTCAAAATCACGGAGCCTGTCTCTCAGAAGAGGAGTTAGAAACGACAGCACCATCTTCGTCGTAGGGGGAGAGAAAATCCCACTCCTATCTGAGCAACCCATTAAAAGCCTGGTGAGGCTGTACACGGCAGAACTTACGGACAAACAGATGGGGAAAATCATGATGAAACAGCTCTTAGAAGGCCTGGCAAAGATCGATCAAAGCCAACTACCAAGGAAATACAAGGTCTGGTGTTACCAATTCACACTCTATAGGAGGGTGATGTGGCCACTGAAAATGGGCGAGATACCCTCATCCACCGCAAGTAAGATGGATGGAAAAGCCAACTCATTCATCCGAAAGTGGTTGGGGCTGCCACAGTGCCTCTCTGAAACAGGCCTCTTTGGAAGGAACACCCTCCAGCTGCCGCTCCAATCCATCAGTTTGGGCTACAAGCAGGAAAAGACCAGGCTCATTCTCGAGTTGAGAAAGTCCACTGACCAGACTGTAAGCAACGCGAAAGCCAAGGTTCCAACAGGCCGGAGGTGGAATGCCCAAACCGAGGTCGACCAAGCCATCAGTCGCCTGCAACATCAAGAAATTGTTGGCAGAGTCCAGGCAGGAAGAGCAGAGCTAGGGTGGGGAGAAGCGCCACAGTTCTGGTCCAAGGCCAACCGCAAAGAGAGGAAGGAGATGGTGGTGGCAGAGGTGACTAGAATGGAGGAAGAGCTCTACAAGATCAAGGCCGTGTCGCATGGCCGACCGGGAAGCTGGACAACCTGGGAGGGAGTTGCCACCCGAAACATGATCTGGTCAGATCTGTGGAAGATCCCGCAGGCAAGGCTCAGCTTCCTCATCCGCTCAACCTATGACACGCTCCCCTGTGCTCGGAACCTTCACCAGTGGTTCGGGAGGGAGGAATGCTGCACACTCTGCAATACCCCTAATGCAAGCCTCCAGCACATCTTGGCAGGCTGTAAGATCGCGCTCTCCCAGGGACGCTACAGATGGCGCCACGACCAGGTCCTGAGAAAGCTAGCCGAGGTGCTAGAGGGGTGTCGACAGGGCAGCAAAGGGCTACCACCAGCAAGGAACCACAACCACCTCAACTTCATTACGGAAGGTGGGGGGAGGAAAAACATCAGGCCAAGAGAAACAACTAGGCCGTTTTCCCCCGATCAGGAGTGTAACATGAAAGTCGACCTTGATAGGCAGCTCTGTTTCCCGGTCGAGATCACTGCTGCATCTCTCCGCACTGACATAGTGGTATGGTCCATCAAGGCAAGATCCATGCTCCTCACTGAGCTCACAATACCAACGGAGGAGGGGATGGAGTCTGCCTATGAACGTAAGAAAGCCAAGTACTCAGAACTGGCTGCTGAGTGCCGGGAGGCTGGCTGGAAGACTACCATCTATCCAGTGGAGGTTGGATGCCGAGGCTATGTGGGGCTGTCAACCATACGCCTTTTGAGGGATGCAGGAGTGACTGGAGGGAACCTAAAGAAGGCATAAAAACCACAAAAAAAAAAAAAAAAAACAGAGCTGTTTTCCCACACCACCACACTGTCTGTGTGACTGCAGACTGCTCCATGTTGACAGATCTGCTGAAAAATTCTCTTAATCTATAACCATGACAGCTTTCTCCACTTTACCATTTAACTTCGTCCAGCTGTGTCATTCTCAGTACGATTTGGTAGTTGTTGGTTTGGTAGCTGTTGGTATGGTGTATTTGGGTATAGTTTGGTAGTTATAGGCATGGTCTGATTTTTTTTGGTATGTTTGTTGGTGTGGTTTGATAGTATGGTTTGATAGTTCTTAATATGGTTTGGTACGTGTTGGTATGGTTTGATAGTATAGTTTGGTGGGTTTTGGTATGGTTTGGTAGGTTTTGACGTGGTTTGGTAGGTCTTGGTATGGTTTGGTAGGTTTTGGTAAGGTTCGTTAGCTGTTGGTGTGGTTTGGTAGATTGTGGTATAGCTTGGCGGGTTTTGGTATGGTTTGGTATGTGTTGGTATGGTTTGGTAAGTTGTGGTATAGTTTGGTGGGTTTTGGTACAGTTTGGTAGTTGTTGGCATGGTTTGGTAGGTTCTGGCATGGTTTGGTAGGTCTTGGTATGGTTTGGTGGCTTTTGGTAAGGTTTGTTAGTTGTTGGCATGGTTTGGTAGATTGTGGTATAGTTTGGCCGGTTTTGGTATGGTTTCGTAGGTTGTGGTATAGTTTGGTGGGTTTTGGTATGGTCTGGTAGTTGTTGGTACGGTTTGATAGGTTGTGGTATAGTTTGGTTGCTTTTGGTATGGTCTGGTAGTTGTTGGTACGGTTTGGTAGGTTGTGGTACAGTTTGGTAGGTTTTGGTTCGGTTTGGTTTGGTAGGTTGTGGCATAGTTTGATGGGTTTTGGTATGGTTTGGTAGGTTGTGATATAATTTGGTTGGTTTTGGTGTGGTTTGGTAGTTTGTGGTATTGCTTGGTAGTTGTTTGTACGGTTTGGTAGGTTGTGGTATAGTTTGGTGGGTTTTGGTATTGTTTGGTAGTTGTTGGTGTGGTTTGGTAGCTTTTGGGGTAATATTTTATTTGGACAGTCCACTTTAGATGCTTTGTAGATACTTCATTTACTTTCAAGTTATACTCACTAAATATCTACTAAATTGACCATAATTTTCTTTAACTCTAAACCTGGCTCTGATCCTAACCCTAACCTTAACCTCAACCCAAAACCTAAACCCAACCCTCCCCCTGGTCCTAGCCCTAACCATGGTCCAAATCCTCACCCCACCACTGTTGAGTTTCAACAGAGCATCTGTAGATCATCTATAGGGGACTACAGTGGGCTATCCAAATAAAGTGAGGCCACTCTTGGTGTGGATTGGTAGGTTTTGGTGTGGTTTGGTAGCTTTTGGCTATGGGTTTAATAATTCACATGTTTACAGGCCATAAATGCTTGTTTTTAGAATAACAAAACATCTAAAACTTAAACATGTGACGTAGCCTGAAAGCCACTGTTAACGTCTTTTATGTTTTTTATAAATCATGTTGTCACAACACAAAAATCTTTTAAGCATCTACTCATGTTTTGTGAGGGAAGCCATTCTATGCACGGAAGGCTGCTATACTTCATCTGTTGCTGTTGCTGCCGTTCAACAAGCACAACAACAGGTGGAAAAAAATATGTATTTCAAGCTGCTACAGAATGTTCTAAAGCCAGACAACATATCAGGGCTGATTTATAACATGGAGTAAGGTTAAAAGAAAACTTTTTAATAAAAACAGGTTGCATTTTGTGCCTCTTAAAGCCACAGGGAGTGTGTTTTCGCATATTTAAATAGTCTGACTTGATTGATATATAAAAAAAATATCAGCAATTGACAATACTATTGGCAACTGGCTGAAGCCCATCCTGAACCTGGCCTGAAACCTGATATTTTGTTTGGTCCTGTTGGGTTGGGGTCAGGTAGCAAACCTCTTAAAGTGAGAGAGACATACCTCCTGGCTGTTTCTGAGTGACAGGGGGAAGGCGTGGTCCAGCGTCTCTAGATGATCGAGGGACTGTTGCAGGTGAGTGATGGCGTGGCTAAAGTTGGAGGCAGAGCTTTCACTTTGCAGTGTTCCATCATCCCGACCCCTTTTCTTGCTCTTCTCGCTGACGCCCTTAAGAGCCTTCAGAGCTCGTCTAGTGATCTCTGTCCTGGTCTCAACAGACAACTACACACACACACACACACACACACACACATACACACATACACACACACGAAAACACAAAGAGAAAAGCAATGTATTAGACATTGAACTACTATGGACTACAACTGCATGATATGCACAAAATACTGTTATTGTGACATTATTGCTGCTATTACTGTATTATGATTACAATACACCTTGCAATATATAAAAAATTTACAGGCAAATTAATAATGTTACATAAATATTAGCCTGCGTTACTTTGACCAAAATAAAAAACGTTTGTTAAATTACATAAATACGCTGATTCAAGTCAAGTCATAGTTATTTCAATTAAAATTCAGAGTAGATTTTGAAGTCCACTGTAAAGAAATCAGAGTTGGCAAGTTTCTCTACACTGCACCGCTTCACATCAATCTGCTCTGAACAACTTACATCTCAATCACTGAATTATGCAGAAATTATACTCTGCTGCTTTATCTATTCCATGGTCACTTCGGTCAGATCCATTGTTTTAAATGTGTGCTATGAATAAATATGACTTGTGTACCTTGATTCATCAAAACACCGGGAGCTGTTCGGGAGCAATGTCTTGTTGATTTCCAGATGAAGCCAGTATTATACAACACAAATGAAAGAGTACAGAGCGTCCTCCTGCCTTTCTCCACCTTAAATATTCAACACTGCTAAACCTTTCCTCGGACAGGCATTTTTTCCCATTGATAATCCTGTCACTATGCCTACGTTTGTGTGGCTTTATAAGGCATGGAACTGCGTATTTTTCCAACACATATATGTGACTGCAGCATAAGAAAACCACCCATCTCCTGATGACATATCTGGAAGGTATAGACTGCTTTGGGGTGGATTTGCAGGGAAATGTGCTTTCTAGTTTGTGAGGAGCAATGTTAGCTAGTAGCTTGCTTCTCCATTTGCCAGCTAGTGAAAATAAATAAATCACAAGTGGTTTCTGGGTCTGGCTGGAGTATTCCTTTAAAGTGCACCCAATGCTGAAAGAGGTGTTTAATTGTGTGCATATAGATTGTGCAATCTCCACAAAAAGACATGAGTCTAAGGTAACCTTGCCCAATACCAAGTATCGGCTAGAGTGGTATAAAGCTCCCCCAGCATTGACCTGGGGAGCAGTGGAACACCATTTTCTGCAAAAACAGAGTCCTATTCCAACCTTTGGGATGAGCTGGAGTTGTGTTTGTGATTTAGAACTCATTATCCACCTCACAAATGCTCTGAATGCAATCAAATCTTCACAGAAATGTTTCAACATCTAGCCTTTTCAGAAGAGTAGAGTCTGGTACTGCAAACTCAAAGGGGGGGACAATCTCCCTGTTAATACTGAAGAGTTCTAGTGACTAATATGGACATTTTATTTGGTCTACGGATTACTGCTTTAGCCAAACATCTTTGCTTGGTGGTTTATGCAAAACAGTCAGTACTGAATGTAAGCACATATGCATATAGAATATATCGACATGCTGTGTGTGCACTGACAGAAATGCTTTCATGGACTTTCATCATCCTGCACACTGTATCTCACTATGTTCCCAGAGCCAGAGCTTTCTATTAGTGCACAACACAAACACAAACAGCTGCGCAGGGGTGATCCTGCTCAGGAAAGCATCACACAGCGCATAAACCACTGACATCTGCCATGCCCTGCTATAGCTGCTTTGTGGGAGTGCTGTGAATAAAGACAAATGTGTGGGCTTGTGTGTGACTGTGTGTGTGTGTGTAAGATGCTGTTTGTGTGTAAGAAAGAGCACATCTTTGAAGTAAAAGATGGCTCGGAGATGCACGCAGGGATATAGAGTTTAATAGGTTCCCGCTGGGATGGATCAATCAGCGCAGGTTAAAAAGGAGGGACGAGAGAGAGAGAGAGAGAGCAGAAACGGAGCTCAAGAAGTGCATTTGAATGTGGAAAAATATTCAGATGACTGCAAAAAATTTGATTTTGTCAATAATTCATCTGACAAGTTTACATGCACTTAAAGAGGAATTCCATAGGTTTTGCATCACGCAATCGATGAGATGTAAACAAAGTCATTCAGAGTGGTTTGATGTGAAATGGTTCACATAGAGGTAGAGAAACTTACCGAGCTTTCTTTACAAAGGTGGTCACAGAAACCAGGGGTCGCAATGTCTACAACACAAATGTAGCCATTTTATTTACTATCCACAATGATAGTGCCGTGACTGATAATGGTAAATTTGTAAAAAAAAATAAAAATCTGTTTTCTTCTGATTCTATTTTGCCTTACAACACCCTCTTTGTACCTCTCCTCTAACGGATGGTTTAAAAAATATAGGTTTTATGCCAAAACCCAAAAATATATATAGTTTTAGCTCTCTGTGATGTAGCTTTTAGAGACGATGTCTCGTTCCTACCTCCACCATTGTGAACGATTCTGACTTGTTGGGTTTCTGTAGAAAGGAGAGTCACATCAAACCACTCTGAATAACTCTGCTGCTGTTGAAACATCTGTGAGATTCCCCTTTAAAGCAATCTGAATTTGAGAAGATTCTACATCTACATGAGTCAGTCAGTAACTGGATTTCTTTCTAAAGTTTTGTTTTTTAATCCAGTTTTCACCTCAAACTGCTAGCTAGATCGCCCACCGTCACCCCATGCTATCAAGCTGGAACGCTGAAGGCCAACACATTCTTTCTTTAGAGACCTGAGAAGGTGATATTAAATGGGTGCTAAATGGGTGATATTTAATACCTAATACTTAAATGCACTTGGAGGAGAGCACTAACTGCTACCTCTATGAAGTTAGCTAACAGACAGCACTGCTAGTCAAAGTATTCAGTTTACAGGACCACTGCTGAAATCAGTTCATGATGACCATATTATTAGTGTGCATGAAAACACATTCGACAATGTCTGCTTCTCAAGCCTGTAACTAGCATAACATAAAGGTCTGAAACTACTTGCAGGTTTTCGCTCATGTAATCCTCAATGTGGAAACATCAACATCCTAATAGTTCGGTATGCAGAAAAGCTTGCGTCCAAGGACCACCCAATCAGCAGTGACACGACTGAATCTCAGCTGACCACAGACTAAACTGTCCATTACGTTTATCTCTACAATGAGACGTGACGCTACCCAGAGTGACTTTGATTTCTTGTTATGAATGAACTGACAGACAATTAGATGACTAGAGGACCAATTCATTTCAAACAACACTGCAAAATGATAAACATAAAACACTTCAGAGTTTCCCAAAGGCATATAAAGCTGAATTCCAGAGCGACAATGGGGAGCACCTTGCGGATGTGCCTTTAGAACTCCCACCTAGCAGTCTGAAGTTTCTCCAGGGGGCTATTAGTATGCAAGTCACTTTAGTGTTCGTCATTTAGAGAAGAAACAGCCATAAACCTCAGCAGGATATAGCGAACTAAAATGTTAGCAGCAGCTTGCAAAAAGAAAAGGCACAAACGCTTATTACCAAGAGATAATCAGTATTATACATGTAATCTCCATCAAAGAATTTAATTAAACCAGTTAACGTTAAAAACGTATTTAAGCTAAACACCATGTAGAAGTCTTTTAAATGATTTCATTGTAGATTTTGATACTTCACTGCAGGCCTATTTAAACATTCTTATTTTAAAATATTTTAAAATATTTATTTTTATTTTTAAACACTATTTAAACATAAGCCTAAGCACTTTCTCTTTCTGATGACAACCGAACGTGGCACTTTCTACCACTTTTCTACCACATTTCAGTGCATCCTTTGAACAAATGAATGGAAAATGTACATAAAAATTCTGTATAGATAAGAAAGGGAGAAACTAATTGGTAAAAACAGCTGTGTAATGCACATACACAGCAGTTATTCACTATGTGAAGTTTATCACAAATGCAATATGCAAAATGGAATAATATTCAGATCCTGCCATTGCCTTTCACAGTGTTACTCACATGGCTGGCAGCTTCAGGGGAGAAAGTAATAGCATCCAGGAAGTTTACAGCATCTAAAGGCAGCAGCCTGTCAAAGTATTTGGCACAGGTGTCATAAGCATGGAGGAATTCCTGGTCTGTTTGGGGGGATCTCTTGAAGATGTGGGCATCCCCCTCCCAGAAAAGCTTGTGTAGCCAAGTGAAGTGGACAGCACTCGGGGTAAGGGCCTGACCGCCTTTCAGAGGAATCCGAGCAGCCAGTTTGGAGATGGAAAGGACGTTCTGGCTGGTGAGCACCGGCTCCAGCTCCTTCAGAGGGTCTGAGTCCTCTTCTGTAAGCTTCTTATAGTTCAGCCCTATGGAGACAAAGGTATAAAGTGACATATATCAAATTTAACAACTATCCACCACTGGTCAGTTTCTGATCACATTGGACAATCACCGATCAGATATAAATTGGGTTGTGGACCATTCTCAACACTGACACACCTTAGTTTCCTTGTAGATTTCTTTGTCATGTGCATCTAAAATGGCTAAAGGAGATATGAGACCTGCTAGACCACCAAACTGTCACCATCAGATAAACAGTACTGAAAGCTTTCATCTTTGAGAGGTGTACTTATCAAACACAGAAGCTGCCGATGTTCTCAGGGTCCAGTCCTCAACATCACTTAACATGTTTGGGGTTACTTAGATTGTGAGAGACTGACCTTTGGAAGTGTGGAAAAATATCCCTACAGATTTCTCTGAAAAATTGAAAGCAAGTCACTAAATACTGGAAATGTTGATATTATATTTAGGCCCAATTCCATTTGCCCCCTTGCCCCTACCACTTAGCCCTGAGCCCCCTGTTTTGCACATTCATGTCTAGGGGTAGGGTGTCCCGATTTTTGTTGAGATGGAACGGTAGGGTGAAGTGTCAGGGCTACATGGCCCTCCGAATAGAGGTTTTTCAGAGGCACGCTCCAAACAGTGTGCTATGAGGAAAAACAAAACAAAACAAAACAACAAAAAAAAAACAAACAGCAAGATGGCTGCACATTTTCTCCATTAAAAAATTACTAGCAAAAACATCACTAATAATATGCTAATATCTCAGTAGCTAGCTAGCTAAATGTCCGTTCCACCTTAAATAGTACAGCAGTACTGACGCCTGAAGCACGAGAATATAACAGCTACTCCATTTGAGGTGGAACTGGAAAATTCGAACAAGAAGCTGGCGAATAGCTGAATTCTGCTTCATTTCACCAAAGAATTAGGGGTGGGTGATAATAAATAATTGCCCCCCCCCCCTTTGAAAGCATGTGATGCCCTAAATGTAACTAAAGCCCAGCAGTGAGGAGCTGAACTTTACCTTCCTCTGCTATCACTGCAGACTGGCAGGGTCGCCTACAGAGCATCGCTAGTAGCCTGTCAATGAGGTAATGCTCTTTTTATTTGAGGGTTGTCCCACTTCGAAGGGGAAGATTTCAACCACTACTCGTAACCCAGATGCAATGGGCAAGGTGACACTCAAAAACAAGGGGTAGGGGTAAAAATAAGAAATGGGATTGGACCTTAGTTTTTGAGGCTTCTTTATAATTTCCTAATAAATACATCTTTTCTGCAGTGAACAACCCTTAACGGCTGTTTGGACTAGAAATTAAATAAATGAAGGGCCTTCTCTGGCTTTTGCACAGAACTGTACAACTCATAAATTTAGACAATAACAACACTTCAGAGCTGACTGGCGTGTGTAGTCTTGGCATCACAGCAGACTGATGTGTTCACACTCATCTGGGTTTTAAATATTTAAACATTAGCTTTAGAGAATAAGTCTCCATCACAGCAGGGAACCGCACAACAACAAACAGACAGACACAGACAAGCCATGACATCTATATGAGTGTGTGTTGCATGTGAGAATGTATCTAGGGCATAAAGGTGTATTTGGAACTGCTGAGAGTGCGGGAGAGAGCTGTGTACGTGTGAGATAGATAGTGTCTGCTCTAAGTGAGACTGTTAAAATGTTTGACATCAAAACCAGAGAGGGCAAATAAACAGCCTGACACTCCTGCTTTCTCACTCCTCGGGAATCACACAAACCTCATGAAAGAAAAGTTTCTAAAGCTGCAGCCTAAAGTTGTATATTCTTTCTGTAACTACTTTGTCAGTTGAGCTATTAGCATAAGGCACATGGAAAGACCACGGCTAACAGGTCCAACACATTTTTTAGATCACATCCATGAATTTGCACACTTTAGGAAACACATAACAGGATGATGCGTTACAGGAGAGGAAATCCGGACTATCACTGGCCATCTTTTCAATCCAGCACAGCGTGAATCAGGAAGTCCATATGTCATTAGAATAAATGCTAATTATATAAATACAGCAGTGAAAAAAATATGTTGATATCTTGTAAACTAGTCTAAAGAACAGAGGTTTGGATCCAGATGTCTCTGGACACCCCCAGCCATCGCTTATATTTCCATCACCAGCAGACCTGATTAATACATATTTATTAGCCAAGCAGGTGTTGGGTGATATTTTTAAACCCAAGGCATTAATTGATATAGTAATAAAATAAATCTATACAAAATCATAATTTATAGGGTTCTTCCTATCAACTTGCACTTACACATACACTTTTTTATTCCAGAGTCAACAGTAGAAAAATACAAACGCACAAAATCAACAGTAAGTTTCCAATCTGTTTGGTCGACATTTACGATACTGTTGAAGGTTAATTTGGTGTAATTGTAAGAAAACAGAAAAAAAAGTCTAATAAAGTAGAGAAATCTACCGACTGATTTATTACAGTAGTGGTGATAGGAAGCAGGGGTTGCAATGTTTACACCACAAACAGTGAATCCAAAATAACCAGTGAACCCACACGTCTGAGCTTTTTTATGTGATGTTGATGATGATATAACGGGGCTAAATCTAAAAAAATAAGTTGGGAAGACTATTTTGCCTTACAACCCCCTGTATGTACCTCTCCACCATGAATGGCTTTTAAAAGATTAATTTTAAGCCAAACTCCTATCCATACACTATCGTAAAACAATGTCTCTGACATCAGACAGCATATTCAGAAACATTTCATGTAATAACTTTCTGAGAGGGAGCTTTAAACTCTTCAGATGTCTGGTTCCTATCACCACCACTGTGAACAACTCTAACTACTAGAACACAGTATTCCACATCAAACCACTTTGAATGACTTTGTTTACATCTTAACCATCATTAAATTATTCAAAAGTTTGATATATTTGGAAAATATCATGACACTAAATTTCAACACCACCCGTTTGAAATGCCACCTTCCATAAAAAGAGTGGGGTGTTTTTTCTGTGTTGGAAACGTCAGCAATTAGCAGCTTTTTAATCACTATAATCACTATCATTATAAGTTTTCTGGAAACAGTGAAGCGAGGGAATCTATTAAACATGAAACCAAACCTCAATAGTCTCATTAAATATATTCATCCTTGCCTTGATTAGTTTGCTCTCCACATCCAGCAGTCGAGCGCATGACCTTTTTTATCACCTTTAAATTGTCACTGATGTAAAAGCTCTGGTGCTGATATGTGGAAATATATGTGGTAGCTGTATATCCTGTATGAAGTACAAAACATCCTTCTCTGCTGCCAGTGTAAGTCATGCAACACAGAAAGCAGCGGCTAATTTGTTTTTCTCCACATGAAGGAAACCTGCTATTAAAAATGCTGCGCCTTTCGCTGCCCTGCCATGACTTTGAGCAACGGATGTTAAATGAGCTTCCGCAGCAGAAACCCATTTATTCCAGACAGGAATGTAATGTGGATCAACAGTTAAATGGCAGGTATTAGCTAATGTTCTACCTTTGGACGGTTTATCAAAGTTGTTTTCTAGCCGTTGAGTTCAGAAATGCCTGATTCAGCTACATAAAAAAGACCTGGGAACAGAAGGGGTTGCTGTGATTTACAATAAGAGACAGGGAATAACTGAATAAAGTGATAACATTCCCTGCTAAGGACTTTTACACTGTATAGATTTGCCATATGTTGAGAACACTGCAATGCGTGAGAGAATAATACCATTGCTAATAAAGAATGAACGCTAGTCAGGCCCAGTTAGCGGAGAGCCATTTGCATAATGCTAATTGGGCCCTAATAGCTTCTATTTGTCCTTGTCAATGTGAGCATTTTAGGGGAAACATTCCTTCAAGAATTCCCCTACATGTTCAAACCAAACATTGCCTTACTTCAGTGAACGCCTCACGCTATATGCAGTGCATAATCTTTAAATTATGATGCTCTAGATCACTGAGTAGTGACAGATCTGGCAGGTTGATACTGGATTAACTTGGAAGCCAAAGAATGCATTAAACACAAGCACAGCTCAGTAGGAGGTTTCTTGATAACACTGGGTCTTAGGTTGGCTTTACAAGGTGAAACTTACATGCAACTTTAGTTGCTTGAAACTTACACAAAACTAAACTGGGCTTGAGTTGCATCATGTAAAGTGTACCGTAATTGTCTTGAAACTCAGTCGCAATAGCTGCAAGCGTCTCAACTTTGTGAAACAAGTTTCAAGAAACAGCCAATCAAAATGATGACAACGCATTATGTGCTAATGCTGCACATCGACATTTCAGGTTGATTTCACTGCATTAATTGGACAACAAAATTAAACAGGAGATCTAATTTCTAACTGGACAGTTTGAAAGGAGATCCTCCCGATTGACTCTATGCAAAATTGGTAGTTTTTCATTTTGACAGTTTCCTGACTTAACTAGACAGCTAAGACTACCAGCTTCATTCCTTGATGGCCTGCTGTTATTGTGATCTACACAGATAGATTCATTTTCTTCTCTCTTGACATCTCCTGAGTTTGCACAGAGCTCAGATTACTTTGGGATTCAAAAAATGAAAATTTTAACAGAAGAGAGAGAGACCTGAACCTGTAGTTCTCATAAGACAGGATGAGTGAAGCATCAAGTGCAATAGATAGATAGATAGATAGATAGATAGATAGATAGAAAGAAAGAAAACATGCGAATGTAAATAACACACTGCATGAATATATAGTGTAAAAAATACAAGCTGCTAATTTGTCTAACTAGCGTAACAGAATGTGTTGCATGCAACTTTGTTTTTCAGTTGCTTCATATAACTCTCAAGCTGCACAGAAATTATGTTATATGCACCTCACAACTAGTTGCATCTAAGTTTCACCATGTAAAACCAGCCTTAGGATTAATGACTGTGTTAATGAGGTTTTCTTGTATGTGGGTTTTGCATGTGCACTAATTACACAGATTCTTAAGAAGCACAACATTGCTGTGTGCTGCATGAGTAGATGTTAATCGATGCCACAAGGCAGTTGTTTTGCTCAGCGTTCTTAATCTCTTATAAGGAATGATCTATTACATCAGTAGTCGATTGATTCCTGAGTGCTTAACACAGCATGCGTTTTTTAAGAAGTTTAACCGGTAACACTTTATTTGAAAGCTACATCATAACACATACATGAGCACTGAATAATGAATTTATTATTATTAATCATTTAAAGCAATATCTGAGTCTTTATGAACAGCTTATTAATGACATTGTATTGACAAAAGGGTTTTGCATTTAACTCGTAAAATTACGCAAACGATGCTTCATAATAGTGTTATAAATAAAACAAACGTCCATCACTTTTGTTTAAGGTCCCTTATGTCAAAGCAATGTCATTACTTCATAGAACATCTTATGTCATCTTGTGGTTTCTAGCACAAGATGGTCATAAATACTCAAATCTTGCTTCATAAATATGTTGTTCAGTGCTTAGGCATGTATTGTCGAATCACTGCTTAAACAATGTGAACTAGACTTGTGTTTGTAGAGGCATGATGTGAAGTAATACTACAACCTCATGACTAAATACTTTTTAGTCAAATTTGTGACACTGTTATTAGACCTGTCTGACTGCAATTAATTGAGCTGACAGCAATTATCAGACACAATTGTTCACTTTCACAGTCCTATGTTTATGTCGCAATAAATAAACATAATGGCGAAAGTTCTGACTTCTGACTTGGTACTTTAACACCTTTAGAGGGCAGCAGTGAGTAATGTTTGTTTATGTGAGCTTGAGCTGTTTTTATCGTGAACTGAGAGCTAATAAACATTAACATCTAGTTAAGTTGTTTGCAGAAAATTAGAGCCTGACTGATATATCGGTTAGCCGACAATATTGATGGCTCACGTTTTTATCATTATCTGCAAAAAATATTGCATATAATGCGCAGATAATTACAGACTCTGAACTTGATCTCCAAGCAATAGGGCGGGGGTCCCAATATGAGTTCCCCTGTTTAAATATATCACAGCAATATAGGTCAAACCAGTGAATTTGAACACAATAAATTTCAACAATCAGTAAAGCATTGCTTAATTAAAACTATTTGAGAAAATTATTTTGGCCGATGTCTGTAGTTTGAATTTTTGCCCCTTATAATTACAATATAAAATAACATAATTGCAAATTACAACATACATGCATTAATAAACGAAAGAGGTGCATGAGCCACCAAAATCTGCACGTACACGCCTATAAGGATGGTTCTCAATAGCCTGAAATGACTCTATAAGCTTCATGGAGCTCATTTTATCCTACAGGGTAAAAAAGACTCAATCGGACTGGATTAATCATCACTTAAGAAGAAAGCATCCCCTCTTGGATACAACCCCATCCTGAAACTGGGCAAAACTAACTCCCCGTCTGCCCAAGGGTCATTTTCTCCTCCATACTGCACGGTGCAGCTGCTACAGTTGCTTTAGGTACGAACGCTCAGTTTGTAATTAACACATGAGCCCCAGTCCCGCCTCACTCGAGAGGGAGAAGAATGTAACTAATTAGCCAGTTCAGTCCTTATCTCTACACCCTCTCTCCATCTCCGCTGTCTCACTTTCAGTTTTCTCTCTCTCACTCTCTCTCTCTCTCTCTCTCTCACTTTCTGTTTTTCACATTGCAAAAGAACAACAATCCAGCCAGTGCAGACTAATTAAGCCTCTTTTATTATCGCTTTTAATTTGCGCCTTCTTTTCACGAAAACGTTTGCCAGTGAAGAGAAGCGTGTGATTACAAGATCAACTCATGGTCACGGTTAAGACCGACATGTTTGTGTAAGCAAGTGCCGAAGTGCTAGCAGGTTCCTTCGCCTCTCAAGGTGATGTTTATCAAGAATGTACTTTTCTTTCTTTAGCTACAGGGATACACAGCAATCAAGCAATCAGAAGGTATGGGGATTTAAAAACCTCCTTGAAAGTATAACTGAAATGGATGGAGAGTTGGTGAAAGCACGATATGAACGAAAAGCAAAGCCCTTGGCACTGATGCAGTAAAAGCCTGTTTTCAATGCCACTTTAAAACACTGAGGACCTGATGTACTGAGGCCTTTGTGGCAGTGTCAGGAGCAAATCGGACACATTTTGTCTGTGTGCTTATGTACAAAACTGTTCCACGAGCCTAAATGTGCAGTTTAAGGGCCAAGTGTATGGAAAATTTGCATGTGCATTTGACAAAGGGCTGCATAAATAATGGGTGAAGATAACTGAAAGTGTGGCTGATTGCATACAGCGGCCAGTTTTGCATGAAATACAATATGCAGGGTATCAAAGACGTGTTATAACGAAATGTGAAATTCAGAATTCGATTTGATAGACGGTGTCTCCATATGATACAGTGAAAAAAAGGAGTGGCTGAACATGTGCCTTACATTAATACACTAATGGTAGCCCTTCCTATGAATCTTGTATTCATAATGCCTTATAAATGCATGGAAAAGTGTTGTGTGGCATAGGCAACATATTATAATACCTGGCACAAGCTTGTAAAATTGCTTATAAGTAGTTGTAGCTACATGCATAACACTTATATGAGTATACAACGTTATAATGTCAGTTTTCATAATGCATTACAGTGCACAGGAATGTTGTAATGCGCTATCACGGTATATTTTCTGTATCACAGCAGACCCAGGCATGCAACCAGGCAAACATTTGTTGGATTATAATCGCTCCCTTTCCCAACAGCTATAGGAGACATGGGAAAAGATACAGCACATTTCTTTTTATGGTTTTTACAATAAACTATGTACTACTGAATACACAAATTACTGAGCTGTATTTCTGTATTTCCAGTAAGATGTGATAATCTCACTTTACACCAGAGAATGCACTATAAAGTATTACAAAACTGACACCAAATTTCCCTTAAAATTTAAATAGTCATAATAACAATAATAATAATAAAAAAAGCCAGCATCTGCAAAAATATTGCAGACATTACTGCTTTTTTGGCTTTTCAATCTTGTGATCTCCAGGCAACAGGGCAGAATCTTAGACAACTGTGTCACTGGGGAACCTAATATCCCCATGTTTATATAGATCACAGCAAGTCAAATTAGTGAATTTAAACAATCAAGGTTAAAATCACAAAAATATGTATTTATCCTTACAATGACATCTCATAACACAAAGACCTTTTTTTATAATAATGAGGACTAATTAACAGAAAGATAACCTCAAAGAATTCTGGGTAGCTCCTTTCTCCATGATACAATATTTATATCGCTGCTGTCAGAACAAAACCTCGTATCTCAAATGATAACTTCACAGGAAAAGGAAAAAAACTTTATTTATACTTTATTTATAATGGAAGTGAATGTAACCAGACTTTTTTCTAATTCACTTTGGGCCATTTTATTTGGTCCATTAATCATGAAATTTACACATAATTTAAGGGCAACAGGCACTTTCAAATTAAGTCAAAAAGTGTAAAACGACAAAAATGGAGACGCAAGGTTTTGTTCCGACAGCAGCAATATATAAGATTCTGCTGTTCATATGACTTGCAATCTCTATGCAATCTGTATTATTGTAGAAAGTGAGATTACACATCTTTTTGCCAGAAATTATTACCACGGCAACAATTTCTGTCTATGGGGTTTTCAGTGTTATATTGGCACCAAGCAAACGCTACCTTTCTCACACTGTGTTTAACCTTACCCTACTTGAGCACAGGATGAATGTTTGTCTTAGTGTATGTGTGCTGAGCCTCATAGGCTACATTTACACAGCAGGTAAAAGTGGCCCAAATCCGATCTTTTTCTTCATACGTGACACAGATGTGTCATCTGTGTGTCAGTGTGAACAGGAAAAAACACATTTAATCTGACATTTTCAATTCCGATTTGAGACGCTTTCATATGTGGTACTGAAATCCGATCTGTATCCGATCTGCGGCAATGTGACTTTTTCGTCAGTCCAACTCGACATTCATCATAATTTCGTGCTGCTGAGACTCATAAACATTCAGGCTGATGTTTCTGTACTAAAAAAATAGAAGAGACTCATCGCAACCGCTCCGTGTTTGAAGAGGTTTTGAACGAACTAGCTGAACGTGGCCAGATGAAAGTGAGGCTGCAGCGTCAAAAAAAAAGTTAAAAGAATCCGAGGACATGAACCAAAGAAGTGGCCGTGGCTGAATAACGTGCCCTTTTTCGGCGAACTCAAACACATTCTGGGTGATGAGTCCAGCTGTCAACCATTGGAACTTCATAATCGCTCCTGAGATGAGGGCGAAGACGAAACTGAAAGCTCCGGGAGCGACTGGCTTAAGGAGCTGATCTGTTCAGAGTAATGTCGCATACAGGTCACATTTAAAAGACAATGTGAACAGCCAAGCCAAAAAAAACGGATTTGGTGAGAAAATCAGATTTGGGCCACTTTTACCCGCTGTGTAAACGTAGCCTTAGAAAGATAAGGTATTCTGGACAGGCATCACGTCCACAGGCTACAGACACAGGCCCAAAAAGGGCCACAGTGTCCCTCCCATGAGGGGTGGAGTTATCTGAACCTACAGGTGTATCATTAATTTTTAAGATTATGAAAAGCACATTCCATCAGGTGAGTCCAAATTTTGTCTGATATTGTATGTACTACACAAGCAAGGTCGGCAGTATGTTGGTTGCTCACCGTTGGCCACGGCCTTCAGCTTCTTGAGTAGTTTGACGTGAGTGTCAGGCATCATGGCGGATGGAGGGAGGTAGTCGTTGCAGGAGCAGTTCTCCAGCAGGGTGTAGTAGTACAGCAGCCGCTGCAGGTCTGTGCCCGCAATGCTCGGGTACACGTACTTGCTCATGTGGTTGTAGAAGGCCTCAGGGTTCACCTTCAGAGTGTGGAACAGACCCAGAGAATCAGTCCGACTCTCTATATCCTTAGTGGAGAGGCTGAGGAAGAGACAGCGAGGGAGAGAAAGAGTGCAGATGAAACTATCGATCATTTCTGCTTTGCAAATCTTCTGCCAGTAAACAGCTGACGGTTCTCCAGTGTTCTTTAAAGAATTCAGCCTAAGCTACTTCAACACAAAGTGTCTTATTGTCAATGTACAAAAAACTATGGTCCTAATGTCCTAAACTGGTTGTTTGAAAACTACTCAAATTGACACAGATGATCTAGATAGGAGGTTAGCTGCTTAATTTCGAACTTCAAACACACCTGATCTTAATAAGATTGTAGTTTTTCTTTTTTTTTGTGTGGCTCTATGTATGAAAAGCTACATTTAGTTCACAGTGCTTTTTTTGCAATGTAGTGCCGACTTTTCCCCTCCAGAACAGGCCAGATTATCTCCCATTGAACAGACTATTTTCCAACCCCTCATTATCCCTTAGAATTAAACAGGCTGGTTTTGCTACATGTTTTTGACTGTTTTGCTGATGATGAACCTTTTTTAGCCCGCTGTGTCTGAACACATCGGAATTAGACCTCCACATTTAACCCATCCGTGCAGTGAAACACCACATACACACTAGTGAACACACACACTAGGGGGCAGTGAGCAGACTTGCCCGGAGCGGTAGGCAGCCCTATCCACTGCGCCCGGGGAGCAGTTGGGGGTTAGGTGCCTTGCTCAGACTTCAGTCACGTACTATCAGCTGAGGGGATCGAACCAGCGACCTTCCAGTCACAAGGCTGGTTCCCTAACCTCCAGCCCACGACTGCCCTACTTTGCTGTGCCTCATTTAAAATGCAGTCCAGTACAAAACACACAGAACAACCTGTGTGGATTTAAATCCATTTGAACATTGGAAATGATAAACTTCAACCACTCATTCTGAGAATCAGTGATACGTTTGTTTAGTGACGGCCAGGAACAGCACAAAGTTTAGTCATTTTACTCGCATCTTCTACTGCATTAAGTCCGCTATGTACTGTCTGCAGTAACAGCACTCTGTATCACTTCTATGTGAATGGGCAGGTTAAAATGCTGTAGGTTGAATGGGCTACCATACAATCGTAGGCAAAAGTCTAAACACCCCTGGTCAACCCAGGAAAATAAGTTAATTTCATATGCCATTTTTCTTCAAATGTTAGTGCCCAATTTCTATTTATTTGCTGAGTTTAACCTACTGACATCAAATACAAACGTTATTACTACTGTATAGTCCACCTATCATCTTTTATTTTTGTTCAGTATCTTAAATACAGCAATTATACATTAAAATGCATTCTGTGTATGTAAACATGTTCATAGGGACAGCTTAACGATGACCTCAAATGACTGGATCGGATGTGGTGAATTAGGGTTAACAATAAACTCTAAGTGCATCAGATGCCCAGAAAAAAAGATACATCTGTGTTATTTCTCCAACCTCTTTCAGCTTAGCTTGTATTTAGGCATCGTTTAGCCTCTCATCATTAATCTCCCATCCTCGCTGTGGAATCCAAGGGTGTCATGCTTTTATTTTTTCTGCGCATTGATTTCCATACTTTATTTTGCTCTATTCTGACTGCCTCTGCACCTTTTTTCCCACTAATTGAATGCCTTTTCAGCAAAGATAAACAGCTTTCCGACGTTGCCTACACCGCCTGCCCCCGATTCTGATGCAGGGAAATGTTTTATAGAGTCAAGTTATCAATAAATTACAATGTGAACCTTTAAAGGCTGCCAAGTCCACTTCCTCAGCAAACATGCTGATGTGTGTGTGCACTTGTGTCCATGTGTAAGTGTGCGCATGAGAAAGAGCCCAGCCGATGATCTCTGCAGCTTGTGGAACTAAAAGTCAGAGAGCAGTATTCCCAAAAAGGACATAGGCCAGAAATGTTGGGTGATCTAATGGGCACACGTTGTGTATGTTAATCATGTTAAACAAGGTCACATGAGCCACGGATGGACTGGGAATATTTGGACAGTGTCAGAAAAGCCCATCCAATGTCTAGAGAGACTAACCTCTGTGGGGGACAGTAACCTCTGTGGGCTTCTGTTCATGTTTAATGGATGTGACTTCACTAGCTGCAGGCACACTGCCCTCAGGCGAGAGAGATAGAGGGAGAGAGAGAGATAGAGAGAGAGAGGGCTAGACTGAGAATGAGAGTAGGGAATAAAAGACGAAAGGGGTATAGAGCAAAAACCAGCAAAGAGAATGTGAGAGAGAGAGAGGGAGGGAGGGAGACTGAGGCAGAGAATGTCAGGGTTTCTCACTGCAGTGTTTCCTTATTAATACAGAAAAAAAACCTTTCACAAGGATCAATAGCACACAAAAGCACTAAACACAGCATCCATATACCCTGCACACCCGCTCTCTACATGTGTGTGTACATGCGTTTCTGCCTCGCTGAGAGAGAAGCAGAGACTCAGAGAGAACACAGAGCTTCACTGGGTTTCTGCAGGTATACATCATATTTTATATATATATATATATATATATATATATATATATATATATATATATATAGATGGATCATATATATATAGATGGATCACACATATATTGCTGTTGTCGGAACAAAACCTTGTATCTCCAAAATAACAACTTCACAGAAGAAGGAAAAAACATACTCTACTTTTAATGTAAGTCAGTGGAACCAGACTTTCTTCCAAGTAATTTATGGTCATTTCTTTTAGTTCAGTCATCATGAAATTTACATACAATGTAAAGGGTAACAGGCATTTTCAAAACTGAGCACTTTATTAGTAACACTATACTAATACTAGGTAGGGCCTCCCTTTGCTCTCAAAACAGCCTCAAATGTTTGTGGCATGGACTCCACAGAATGTTCAAAACATTCCTTTGAGATTCCTTTGAAATTGTTCAGGTGCACTTTCATGCTGTCAATCTCCTGTTCTATCACATCCCAAAGGTGTTCTACTGTATTCCGATCTGGTGACTGTAAAGGTCACTGAAGAACATTAATCTCATTGTCATGCTCATGAAACCAGGTAGAGACGACGTCTGCTTTATGACATGGTGAATGATCATGCTGAAAGGAGCCATTAGAAGAAGAATTTTGGGTGAATTGTGGCCCTGAAGGGATGCACATGGTCAGCAACAATACTCAAATAGGCATTCAAGCAATGGCTGATTGAGAAAAGAACATTCCCTACACCATTCCACCACCTCCATCAGCCTGGACTGTTGACACAAGACAGGTTGGGTCCATGGATTCATGCTGTTGGTGACTAACTCTGACTCTACTATCTGTGTGCCTAAGCAAACCAGGCTACGTTCTTCCAGTCTTCAACTGTCCAGTTTTGGGTAGCCTTTGCCGAACAGACTTCAGTGTATTTTAATGTACAGTTTAATTTTAATTTAATATATTTGGGGAAAAAAATGTGGCCTGTGCAAAAGTTATGGCACAATTTGTATATTTTGCCCAATAGGTTTACCTCAGCAAATCAATAGAAATCTAAAACTGAAAGAAGTTTGTTCTCTGTTAAGGATATGTTAACTTTTTTTCACTTTGAACTGGGTGTGTTCAAAACTTTGTGTACAACAGTGCATACTGATTTTAAGGGGCCAAAAATTCTGATGGTTTCTAAAACTGGCTCATAAAATATTATATTTCAGATTTTAATTTACTATTGCCCCAAGTTTTATTAAACTGCTTTATTAAAAGATGTCGAAAAAAACCTGACACTTCTAAAGGTTACTTTGCAACAACAACAACAACCATCATTAGATGACAGACATATAAAATATAAACCAATATGAAATGCCAAAAGAAAATAATTAGCTATTCAAAAAAAGTTTAAATGCTGCTTTAATTAATTTATTAATCAAACACTGCTTTCAAACAGCATCCCAATTTTAATTTTACTGGATACACTTTCCATTCTGTGCTGTTTTCATGCTGGGCAATGCTGATATAGTGAGATGCTAGCCTTCACCTGTTTAATCTTAAATTTACATTCTTGGTACTGATAGACAGCAAGTTTACACTCCATTACAAACTTAGCACCAAAGCAAATCATGCTACAACTTGTTCCTAAAACAAATTACAATTACAAATTTTGCAAAAGAACATAACAACGGATCAAACACTACACCACTCATCACAGCTCCATTCTGAGCTATCAAAAGCTACTTTATAGCATTCATATGAAATACCAAATAAAGTGGCCCTTTATCCTCTTCAGATTATTATCAATAAACACCGTACCTAATTGTAATAATGATTATCATGTAAATAAACACAGAGATATAAATATTTGTGTTTACACTTCCTCATCAGTCATAACAAGGCTATTTCCTGACAAATGAAGCAAAACTTTGAGAATAATTGCCAAAGTTTGTGAAGAGGCCCTCTGGTGGAATTGGAGTCTGACAATAAAGCGTGGAGATTAATTTGAGGGAGATTTTGAAAAGTGTTTTCTTATTTCATGTTGCGGGCCGAGAGAGGGAAAAACAAAGCTTCGCGCATGCTAATGAGGATGGGGGGGGGTCTCGGAGGGAAAGAGAGAGAGGCGGAGGCAAAAAATATCACATGTAGCAAATCGGTTTCACGTGCTCAATCTGCTATCCAGACGAGCAAAAGAGAGAGAGAATGACACAGAGAGAAAGAGAGACTACCTGTTACCAGATATACAGAGGATAAAGAAACTGTAAGAGAAAGACAGAGTAAAAGAAAGAAAGAAAGAAAGAAAGAAAATGTGAAACAAAGAGACAGCAAGAGAAAAAAGAGCATGAGAAAAAAAAGACAGATAAAGGAACAGAGAAACAAGAAGAGAGATTTGACGTTGCTATGAAAGGCTTATTGTTTGCCCTTTATTTAAGAAAATGTTATATTTAAAAACTAAAAAAGAGAGAAGCTTCAGCAGTTAAACAATAAATCATCAATCACTGATGGATAAAAGACTTCTGTCTACACCCCATTACATCTGCACAACCTAACATTAGCAGTCTGATAAAAGACAAATTCTGCTCCTGCATGTGTCTCCATTAAAGTTTTCAGTTGAAAACGTTTGCTTCCAGCCCTTCAGAGTCTCAGAGTCCATCCTCAAGGATTTCAAATGGCTAATTTTGCTTAGCCAACCAAAAAACAGTCAAAATACAATTAGGCCAGTGAGCCTGGGAATACCTACCACCAAAAACATGATCAAAATACTGTTAACCCCCCAAACCCCCCTCCATCACTGCAAAGCCTCTGAGAACTCAACCCAGGAGAGAAAGAGTGGGGGAAAGAAGGAAGGAAAGGGGAGAGAAAGAAAGAAAAGAGAGAATGGAAGAGAAAGAAAAGAAGATGAGATCAAGGAAAGAAGGAAATCAGGAAAAAGGAAAGAAGGAAAATCGAGAGAAAGGAAGGAAAGAAAATGGAGAGAAAGCAAAATCCCTCTAAAGCCTCTGAGAACACAATCCTGGAGAGAAAGAAGGGGTAGTTTACAGAACAGGGAAGGAAGGAGAGAGAGAGAGACAAAAAGAACGAATGGAGGAAAGAAAGAAGGAAGGGGAAGGAAAAGGAAAGGAAAGAGGAGAGAAAAGATTCAAAGAGAGGGAGAGAAAAGCATGAAGAAAGGAAGAGAAAGAAGGAAGGAAAGGGGAGAGAAAGGAAGAAAGGAAATGAGAGAAAGGAAAAAGCAAAGAGTGGAGAAAGAAAGGAAAGGAAGAGAAACAAAAGGGAGAGAAAGGATACAAAGAGTGGGACAGAAAAACATGAAGAGACAAAGAAAGGAAGGAAAGAGGAGAGAAAGTAAGGAAAAAAGAAAGACAATGAAAGGAAGGAAAAGAAGGAGAAAAGAAGAAACAATAGAAGACAGAGGAAGAAACAAGGAAAGTGTAAAAGAAAGGAAAGAAAAGGAAGGCAGAAAGCAATGAAGGAAAGGGGAGAGTAAGGAAGAAAGGAAATGAGTGTAAAGGATAAAGGAAAGAGTGGAGAAAGAGGGAGAAAAGGAGGAGAAAGAGGGAGGAAAGGAGGAGAAAGAAAGGAAAGGAGAGAAAGGAAGGAAATGATCAAGAAAGTAAAAAAGGAAAGGAGAGAGAAAGAAAAAAGGAAGGAAATAAGAGAGAAACAAAGGTGGGAATGGGAGAGAAAGAAATAAACAAGAGATAAAGAAAAGAAGAAAAGCGGAAAATGGAGGAAATCTAAGACGAGAAGAAGGAAGGAAAGGGCAAACGAAGAAAACAGGAGGGGAAGGAATGAAGGAGGGTAAGGAAAGAAAAAGAGAAGGAAAACAGAAGGAAAGAAGAAAGAAAAGAAGAAAGTAAATGAGTAAGAAAGGAAAAAGGAAAGGGGAGAGAAAGAAAAGAAGAAAACGGGAGGGGAAGAAAGGAGGGTAGAGGGAGACAAAGAGACGGGGAAGAGGAGAAAGAAAGGAAAGGGGAGAAAAAAAAGGAAGGAAAGAGAGATAACAAGGAAAAAGAAAAAAGAGTGAAGGGAATGAGCAAGAAAGGAAAAAGGAAAGTGGAGAGAAAGAAAGTAAGGAAGGAAAAAAGAAAAATGAACGAAGGAATGGGAGAGAAAGAAAGAAGAGAACAAAAAAGGAAGGAAATGAGCGAGAAAGGAACAAGGGGAAAGAAAAGGAAGGAAACAAGAGAGAAATGAAGGAGGGAACGGGAGAGAAAAAGAGGAAGGAAAGAGAACATAAAGGAAAGAAGAAAAAGGGGAGAACAGGGGAAATGTAAGACAAGATGAATGAAGAAAAGGGGAGAGAAAGGAAGGAGAACGAGAAGAACAAAAGAGAAACAAACAGCAAAGAAAGAAAGGAGTCAGTGAAAGGCAGATAAAGGTGTGATCAGGCTGAGCTCTGAATGATTGTTTAGTAACAGTGTTATCATGCACATCACACAGAGCTCAGCACGTGTGCCTGTGAACTCACTGTAAAATTGATCATGTCCTGGCTGCTCGAGAGCACAGAGGTGGATCTTCCAATAGAATGTGAGTCCAGCAGCTTCAGAACAGTGATTGGCTATAAATCTATCAGGTGTATTGATCAGGGCAGGTGTATATATGTACAGCTGCAGGGATGTCTGCTCAGTCTCTCAGCTCCTACAGCCAATAAAGCAGCTCCAACCAAATAAAATCATTACTGCTAGAAGCCATAGGTACAGGTTTTAAATGAAGCGTCAACATCAGAGGCATTCTCCAGCGAGATGTTCAGTTACAGCCTGATGTTGAATGTATAAGGGCCTGTAATTGTCTTTCAGTCTCTCGTTTTTTTTTTTCCTCACTGTGAAAACATGCAAATGTAGCTATAACAAGCTATTAGAATCACAAGTGAATAAATACACAGTGAACCAATATGGTTAAGGACAAATTTTTGATGGTGTTGATTTAGTTATCCTTAGAATTCTCAAAATTATTGTCATTTTGCTACATTATTCAATGAACTTACAAAGTTTCACAATGAATTACATTTACGTTTATATTTGTATTCCGCAGATAACTGGTGTATGCAGCGCTCAGCCAAGCAGCTAAACTAGCAAAATCTAATGCTTTGGTTAAGTTATTAAGTTGATTAACTTGCCTAGCATAAACAACAAAAACACAAAAGAATAAACAGTTATACCAACTAACAAATGCTTAGCTATTCTCGGGCCAGTTTTGGACTCAAAACATGATGATGTGGCTCACGTCAGGTCTAGATAGAATTTAATTATTCTTACGTCAGCTTTGGACTCAAAAATGTATGTGGTTTGAGTTGAGTTTAGACAAATTTCGTTATACTCAGGTCAGTTTCAGACTCAAAACATGAAGTAGTTTGGCTCGAGTCAGGTTCAGACTCAAAACAAGATGCTGCGAGTCAAGTTGTGCTTGGACAGAAAATTATTGGGCTACATTTGTTTTAGACCAAAATTTTAGGCCCGGACCAAAATTTAAAGCTGTAGTGTTGCTATAGAAGCCATTTAGATATTAAAACAGCCAAGGCAGTAGTGCTACTGGTCAAGGATACAAATATGCAAAATTTTAAAAATCTTTTCAAGTTCATTCATGCTTTTTCTGTTCAGGTGCTAATCTGTGTCATATTTCCTGAGTGCTGGATCAGTGATGGGATCCAGATAGTAGCAAAAACTATCAAAAATGGAAGTGAACCTACCTGAGTCTTCTGAGATTTTATATGTAATGTTGATAATGATAAAATAGTAGTAAATCCAAACAAATAAGGGGCCTATTTTGCCATATAAAGCCCTGTGTTTTTCTTTGGGTAACACTTTATTTGGATGGTCCACTGCAGATTCTTCGTAAATGTTCAGTATATCTTTAAGTAATATTAATTAAGTAAACAGTCGTTAAATGCAACTGAACGTGAAGTTGAATGTTACTTGGATGGTCCTCTGTAAATGCTTTGTAAATGCTCAGTCTGTCTTTAATTAACATTTAACTAAATATCCATTCGAACTTTAAGCTCAGTGTGAAAGAGTTTATTAAATCTAACCCTGACCCTAAACCTAACCCTAACATTAACCTCAAGGCAAAACCTAAACCTACTTTTAGCCCTAACCATAATGATATTGATAATCAACTGAACATCACCAGAACGTTTGTTAATGATCTACAGAGGACCATTTAAATAAAGTGTGATCTTTTCAGGCCAAAACCTCTCTCAAAAGTGGATGACTCATCTCAAAAGTATGGTCAAACAATGACTCAGGCATCAGGCAGGGATTTCTTAGCCATTTTGTGCAATATTTTTCTGTGAGGAAGCTTTTAGAGGCATTAAAGATTTTAGACATACAATTTTGCAAAAAGCTAGAGTGACTGGGCTTTAAGGCTGTTTCGTTTGATGTCAAAAAATAACAAAAGCAGCCAAGAATGCTTTTACTTTCCATCAAACAAAACTACACTCACAACAATGTTTTTATCAAATTCAAATGATAATGAAAAATCTCTGCTACTTACAAACACTAATGTGGTATGGACAGTTTAGACAGTTTAAAGCCTGCACTTTTGTCAGAATGTCCAACGTTACTGCAATCAGAACAAATAAATTAATATAATATTCAAATCTACTGCTGAGAATAACTGTCTAAGGGTTAAATAGTCAACAATCCAGAGAATATGACAGAGCTGTGTGAAATCAGTGCTGATTCCTGGAGCGTAGCTGCAGTAGGAATGACTCAGTGTGTCTGTGACTGCGTAAGGCGAGCGCTTGTGCGGATTTGGAGCAGATCAGTGTGGCAAGCGGCGGAGATGCTGCACACCCACTCTCTCCATCTCTTTCTCCTTCTCTCTGCCACATAGTGTGGAATTGATTAGCTCTCTGGAATTGGCGATGTGTGTTCAGCGCGATAGGGGACGACGTGTTCACCTGCCACTACACCTACTTCTGCCCGCAGGCCTGCGTGTATGTGTGTGTGTGTGTGAGTGTCTGTGTGTGTGTGTAAGAGTGAGTTTCTTACCCACTGTCAGTGAAGAGGAACTCCAGGTGTGTCATATGAACCTCCCAGAGAGGAATACTGTAGCGCTGAGCCAGAGAGCGAGAGATCCCATACACGCTCTCCTCTAATGTTCTAAATACACACAAATACACGATTAGAACGTAAAACACATTCACATTTCTATACACTTTACTGCATTATTCCTGTGATAATATTTAAGCAACAGAGGAGGCTACGAAAGTGCTATGAACGATTTGGTCGCTGATTAGCACAGCAATGATGTTATTTGCATAACACACAACTTTGAGTGTTCTATTGCTTCTAGGGCTGCAACAACTAATCAGTGTAATCGATAACATCGATTATAATAATAATTTTAAAAAAGCTGTCAACAAATCGGTTATTGATACTCAAAGATATTTGCACTCCCCATTTACATCACCTGACAAAGCAGGAAATCACAGACTGCAGAGACTACAGTACATGGGTATGCATGACTCAAAAAAAGCCAAAAATATGGGAAAACCTCATTTTAACATCATCTAAAAAGTCGATTTCTTGTAAGATGTGCAAAATTGAGCTTGGCAGCTCAGTGTGACTGTGAGATGTAGAGAAATATTTTTGTGGCTTAAAATGAGAAAAAGCTCAGTTTAGTGAGTAAATTCCAAAAAAAAGAAAAACTGTAGTTAAAAGTTAAAAACAGTTTGTCACTGTCTGCTTTTTAGCAACTGGTTTAGCATAGGGGTCAGCAACAAGCGGGTCCAGAGCCGCATGTGGCTCTTCTACTGCCCTGTTACCGCTCCACAGGTTTAGGTAAAAACAAAATAACCCTCCTTTGCTGTAAAATAAAGCTCTGCTGATCTTTCTAACACAGTTTAACAATACATAGTCTTAAACACCGGAGTTAATGTAGCCTTTAACTACTAATTCACAAACTTTTGACCCTGAAGGTTGGCACACAGACTGCTGGTCACATAGCCACACAGACAACGATCTCGTCTAGCTAGCAGCTAACGAAAAGGCTAAGAGAAAGATTTAAGATGAACATTGATAATTTGGAAACAAATGGACTTATTTGCATTTATAAGCACTCCAGCTGGTTTCCCAATATGTTTATCTGCAGTGAGAAACTGTCAAACACTAAAAAAATTGCAAAGCTGAAGTCAACTTCTCATTTGAATTTTCCTGTTCCACCTTAAATGGTGCAGCAGTTACATTCTGGCGCCTCAGCCACCATTTAAGGTGGAACGGGAAAATGTGAACAAGAATCAGGTGAATGAGAAGCTGACAGCCTCGTAAAAAACCGAGACAAAACATTGAGAGACACTGTACAAGAAACACTTCTACTTTTGCAGAAAAGTTTCCTGCCGGAGATGTGAGAAAAGCAGCTATAGCTGAGGCATTCAACTGCATACACACATACATGCATATATAATCTCAATGGAAAAGCACTGCTAATATAACAAGACGCTCCAGATTAGCTGCACTTGATCCCGATGTCCAGTGCCAAGCATCAGCTAAGGGGTATAAAGACCGCCAGCATGGAGCAGTGAAGCAGTGGAACTGCATTCTCTGGAGTGATAGAACTCCTTTTAATGCCTTTGGGATGGAGTGGTGTCTGTGATCTAGAACTAATCATCCAACATCAGTACCTGACCTCACTAATGCTCTAGCAGCTGCATGCAATTAAATCCTCACAGCAATGTTCCAGCATCTAGTGTAAAGTCTTCTCAGAAGAGTAGAAGCTGTTACTACAGCAACGGGGGGGCCAACTCCTTACTAATACTCTTGATTTCAGTAGAATTGCTGGATGAGCAGGTGTCTGAGAGTTTCTGGACTTTTGGCAGTTTCTTCTGCCAAAGGAGTGGTCAGCATGTAGCATATCACAACCATTGTTTTTCCTTTGCAACTAGTGGTTGGTGGACTGATACAGGCACCCATATGGGAATTGTGTGCTGAGGCGGATATAAGGTTTTTTTACTACACACTCACGTATACTCAAGTCTACACACAAACAGACAAACACAAAAAGTACGCACTCTGCAAGGCCGAGAATGGTCTCTTTCTTGTACTGGTTGTCATTGCTGAAGCGTTGGACGTCCACTCCACGGCCGAGGCCCTTAAGCACCTGGGCCTGAGTGAAGTCAGTCAGCCTCTCACTGTAAAGCCGCAGCTGACCAATCAGAGCCTCCAGCTCCTCATCAGCCCAACCATGACCCTCGTGGTCAGCCACATGTTTGGTAACTAGACGAATCAGCTCCCTCGGATCAGCCTGAGGTTGCAGAGAGAGGAAAGAACATAGAGAAAGGTTAGTCAACTGAAAGAGAACTTGTTTCCGATATTATGCTTTCACTACACACAGCATAAGCACACCTTATTCTGATGAATGCATTAGTGATCGTTAAACATTTAAAGTCGAGAAATATTATTCAGAAATATTATTTTAGAGTAAATTAGATTAGAGTTACTTTTCATCATAAATACACAAAGCTGTTTACCGGAGTTTCACTGACTAGCTAACACTAGTGTTACATGTTAGCTGTAGCAATCATTAGATAGAATTAGGCTTCAGAGTCTGTATTAGAGTTTTGCAGTTCAGCAGTTTCACCCACACTGCAATAATCATTTGCAACTAACAAAGTGCTACTGCTTTGTTTAAAATTATTATTAATATTATTATTATTATTATTATTATTAGTAGTAGTAGTAGTAGTAGTAGCAGCAGCAGCAGAAGTAGCAGCAGCAGCAGAAGTAGCAGCAGTAGTAGTAGTAGTGTACACACGCATTTACATACAGATTTACAGACAATACTATGAAATCAATATAAACACAATCACTGTTTAATAAACCAACAAAATTTCATTCACTCAAATGTCTTTTGTCAAAGTTTGACATAGCTTATTAAAATGAAGTGCAATCATTAAGACATAATGGATAAAGGCCCCAATTTCATTTTAAAATAGTTGTGTGCTGTACTTTAATAACACAGTGAAAAAAAGGACTAGAAATGATCTGACATATGAATTATATATTCTGTAAAACTTGTATGAAAAATTGATGCAAGATTCAGTGGGGGGCCTCTTTTAAAGATTTTCTTTTTTATGCTATCAGAACAAAACTGTCTGCTTTCACTGAAACTGAATTTATTTTCCCTAACTGTGTGTAGGTTTATACATTATGGGGGGGTGAATTTCCTCCCATTTCCCCTTATAATTTAACAACATTGTGAAGCGGACCAAAAATTGTTCTGAAATGATATCAGGAAATTTTCAAAGCACTCCATCCCTAATCACTGGATGTATAATAATCAATATTTGGAATTGTGGAATATTTGTAGAAGTGCTTGAGCATGTTCATACGTGTGGTTTCAACAAGAAAAAGTACATTAAGAGTCACTTTTAAAGTACAGAACTAAAGTGAGGCTTCTGCGCTCTCCAGGAATGTGTGCTTCGGGAAAAAATTGGCCACCTATTCAGGCGATGAAAATCTGTCACTCACATCAAATGTATCATTTCCGCCACTTAGACACAAATTAATATGTGAAACATGTCTGTCGCAAGGACTGGATAAATTAGCACGTCATGAAAGCGAGATGAAGGACCACGGCCTACATGATTAGGCTCTAATCTAAATGAAAATTACTATGACGTCAGCATGACTGTAGAAACATATCTGTCTGTGTGTCTCTTTGACCACAGAGGGTGGCGTGTAAGTATACTGGCAGGTAAAGGATGAAAATAGTTGGCCAATGAGTTGAAAAAGCGACAGAAGCACAAACGGTGAGGATAAAGGAGAGGCAAATGAGGCAGGGTACAAGACAGGAGGAAAAGAAAAAAGGAGAGCAAAGAAAGGGAGTACGAAAGAAGCTGGGTCTAGAGACAGTGACGAGAAGACAGGGCCTGCATCTGAACACTGTCTCTCACATGTCTCCTTTCATGATGAAACATCTTCATCTAAGCAGTCTTTCTGTCTCCAACCTTTAGCTGTCATGCTGTATCCTGAAAGTGAGACTGTAGCTTGATTCTTCAGGTGCTCTCTCTCTCTCTCTCTCTCTGTGCTCTGTCTAGGACTGCTGTAGCGGCTCCTTGGTGGCCAGTGGTTTTCTGGCTTTAATATGCATGTCTTCACCCTCACAGTCTGGATTATTGCTGCAGACGAGATGGCCACCCTGGAAAAATATGCAGGCGCACTCTCTATGCTAATAGGCAATAATGATGGCAAAGAGCCTTTTCTGTAGGTTAATGAAGAGAGTTTGGTGCATATTTACGAATATGTCTTTGTACAGTAATATGCAGATGAATTCAAATACTTGGAAATTGCACACACACACTGCTATTTATTGCCTGTTATTACAGGCACAAACTTAAAATGGGGACGTTAACTTAACAAAAAAGTGCCTGGATTGCTTTAAAATGCTTAAAAGACTTTGATTAAAAAGTTTGATTAATAAGCTGACAGAACATTAAACACATTCTTGTTTTGTCAACTTGTAACTCAATTAAATCAAAATTTTGAGGTAGCCTGAACATATTATTTATTATTTATTTACAGTGTTGGTGGTGGTTCTGATTGCATTTTCTGCTTAAATGTATGGCATTACATTACAATTTTGTGGATGTTTATACTTACTTCCTTATTGCTTCTCATTAATCCTCCTTATTAATATTTATGAGGTATTTTACAATGTCCTTTACTAGTTCATATCTAGAACTTGCTAGGCATTGCAGTGCAATTTAAACTGTTTCATAACCTACTGCCATGCTACTCAAACTATTTATCTAGTATGTTGGAGTTTAAACCTTACACTTAACTGGTTAATGCATAGAACTTAAGGGACTGTGGAAGAAAGTGTTACCTCAAGTTCTGGCTCCTGGTGCAGACCTTAGCCCAAATCTATTTCCCACAGTGGTAACTGGTAAGGAGCCATACAAATTAGCATTTAACAACTAACAACAAAGTAGCTATGATAGGATAATCTGAAGTTGGATTTGACAGAGAGCCAAAAATGGCAGTGAGTCCAGTCTGTGCTGGTGAAAAAAATCAACTGAAGACATGCCATAGCTGACCCAAATCATCGGGCCACCTCTGGGTGCAGCTGCCACTCTCCTCGAGAGTCTCTGTATCAGAAGTGAGTTACCCGCCTGATTGCTTGGCAAATGACAAATATTGCTATAAGCTGAAGAAGGAAAGAGCCCACGCTGGACACCTCATGCATCCTTGGTGACTGATATGGAAAACTGAAGCCATGTGGTCCAACCATATTAGCACATGATGGTAGAAAGTCAAGGTGAACTAGGCTACAGATCAAAGCCACTTGCCAATGAAAGCATGCTGGTATCACACTGCCTCCCAAACTGACAGGAACACATCCATTATGACCACCTCCTTCTATTACAGAATCAACCCCTGAGGCACATCAGCAAGAAAAAAAATATGTTTTTTCTTCAAGGAACTAGAGCCATCATACACCCATGTGATCACCATGATGTGATTACACACCAGGTTTGACTCGAGCCATGTACCGGAGCCATATCTGCTACCGAGAAGGCTGCAGCTGCAACAGGATTATCATTAAAGCTGCCACCATGCCCTATAAGTACATGAGCTTGAGAACAGTCAGGTAGCTGTGCATTCTGAAGGCTTGGGAACTGTGTGGGGCTCAATGGGGCCATCAAGAGCACAGTGATAGGTCTATGAACATAATGGTTTGAGCTGCCTTAAGAGAGTTTCTCATGTGATTCATGGTTAGCCCCAAGCTTTATCCATACACCAGGGGAGCTTGGCTCTCTCTGGAGGCATATTATAGGCAATTGTCCAGGTAGTAGAGAATCTTCAAGTTCTCTGCTCATAGTAGGCCCAACACACCCTGCAAATACCCCTGGGGCAAACAAAATACCAAAGGGCAGAACTGTGAATTGATATTCTCGACCTTTGAAAGAAATGTCTATGCTTGGGGGCGCTGAGGACATGCATCAAAATAAGTGCAAGGTCTAAAAATAAGTGTTAAGATCTATGAACATGAATCACTTCACATCGAGAAACAATGACCACATGTCAACTTGTGAAAGCACAAATGCTTAAGATGAAAAATCCATCATTCCTTTCCATCAGCGCAGTGACTGAAGGGAGGTCTCCATGTCAACACAGTGAATGTATTGAGCAAAAGAAAAAGTGAGTTCCCAATGCATGCATCTCTCAAGGAGCTTGTCTAGGAAAACCAAGAGATAAAGCTACCAAGTTATCTGCTGGGGGGGCATGCTCTGCTGGGAGGGAGGGTACATAGGGGTCTCAGGAGGGGTCTTGGAAAAACACTCCAGGATCAGAGGCTAGCTCAGGCCTAAATAAACCTGGACCAGGTTAATAGTGATAAGCAAGGCAATCGCTCTGAGCGCATGGAGACCAAGTGCAAGGCAAAGGGTGAGTAACCTCTCCATTTCAGAAGAGTGTCTCAACAAAGGTTCTGTAAAGGCAATAAATGAGGCACCAGTGTTGAGGAAGGACAACCACCTTGCTCTTCTAGAGTCATGAGTACAGTTTTCCACCTTTAACAACAAATCATCCACCTTACATTCCAGGATGGCAGACAGATGGGTGATGTGCACTTCTTGGTGCAAAGCCTGTCAGGAACGTTAGCATCTGACCTAGGCTGCCTCAGATAATATAATCCAAGGCATAAAGAGCCTCAGAAGAGCTTGAGGCTGTGACAGGGCTTAATACAGCTCAGCATAACTTGCACATGCCAACTAGCAGCTGTAGCTCTTCTAGGTGCAGTTAGATGCTGTAATTTCAAATGACAGCAGTCAGCCCAGTAGAAGGGGCTGCTCTGGCAACAGTGTACGCGTGGGGAAACAACAGTGGCAACTCAGCTCAAGTGCAGAGATGCTAAGCTAAGGGCTACTAGGAGTAGGAACCCGAACTAATGAAGTCATCCAGAGAAATCTGAGCGGGTTATCTCTGTTTTCACAGCCCGTAGAGGAGAGGGAACACTCCTAAAGCTCCAACAGTGTCATCGTTATTTCAGAGCAACCCAAGCTGCTGCCTTGTGTCAGTGTGAGAGGCCTAGCAAACGAGGGGAGAAGAAAAAGGAGGATGGTTTCTATGTAAGCAAGACCGTGTTGGTATATGTTTTTGACTTGTATGCAGGCATAAAAGAAGTATCCACCATGCTTCTCCCTGCATGTGGTGGTCAGCAGGTAGTAGTAACGAAACACAACACCTTTTCCCAGAAGTGCACGTTGGTGTTAGCTGCAGGCTATGATGAATGGTTGGCTG